ACCACGAAAAATATAAATTATAAACAACAAGCTGAATAACAGCAGACCAAAATTCAAATTAGGATCACCTCTTGACATTTTTCTTGGTGCGCAGCCACAATTTCATTGTATCTCATCTGTAAATCTGAAAACTCAGCTTGCAATTTTTCATACTCAGCAAGGGAAGGACCTCCTAGTTTCTGTTGGATGAACCTGATGAACATGTAGCATTTGTTTGCTTGACATCAACAGCACCAGAATAAACTAAAAACCGCAAATAAAAGCAACCACTTAAAAAAATAAAACAAATTCGAATTAATCACAAGTTACTTACTCTATAGCTGAAGAAGGTTTGTCGTTCTGCTCATATAGTGCAACAAGAACTGTAATAAAAAGCATAACCATTATCACAAGGAGAGAATAAAATCCATCATTGATAGGTAAAATGAACAGTATGAGTGGAATTAACCTTTTGTCAGACCATCAAGAACTCCAGTAGATTCAAGGTACTTTCTAAAAGCTTCCTTCTTTGCTTCCTTCTCCTGTAAATGGACAGATAAGAAACATAAAATCCTACCCAAAACATGAAATCCACGGTAACTAAAATATAGAAATAAATATCCCACCAAAGCATAGGAAGATGTAATCTTAAATGTAGAGCACACTGTTTACTAGCAGGCATTTATGCCAAGTCACTATCAAGAGCTCGATTTCTCCTCCAATTAAAAAATCAAGCTTCTTTAAGAGACCGGAGAACTCATGTGCACGGATTTCAAGACTGATGTTTGTTCTTCATTAGTGCTTAACGAAGAAAAATGATCACATTGCTTAATGAGGGCCCTCTCAAAGGTTGAAACTCTTTATGACATAACGGAAGACAAAACTCTCACACCAATTTGGGGATAATGTTAAATTAGAGTTTTCTGTTTTTAATAAAATTCAATTAGCAAAAAATATGGATTTTACGTGGACTGTGAGAACCAACTTCCCAACTCCATTCTCTGAATGCACCATTTTGATCAAAATACAATTACTGAAGTATCAAAATATAAAACAATGTACCTAATCATTATGATTAACAGGCTATAAGAGAAGTATTAAACCATAAGATGAAAGTCGTATCAACTTTGAAACTTTATTATGTCATCAGAAAATATTTGACAACATTGACTATCCTTAAATATAAGAAAAAGGAAATTTGGCATATGTTGGTTTTTCCTTTTCATTTTTGGTTGACAATACTCGATCTGAACTTCGTGGCATTACCTTCCAGCCAAAAATTTTGGTAGCTAAGCAATTCAATACAAAAAACGATTTTTCCAGCATATACAAGTTTCAATTTGCAAATAAATAAAAAACAAATAAAAAAAAGATAACTTTCTTCTAATTTGTAATATAAGAAACTACCAAGCCCAAAGCCCAAAGAGGGCTAATAGAGGAGACATAAAGTGATTCTCCTAAATGTTATTGAATTATATGTGTAAATGTTTGGGCTAGGATAGGACTGGGCACTTCTTGTACTTGAGAGTTCATTACCAAGCCTTATTGTTGCCCTTCTCTGTCTCTACGCTCGATTAGCCGTCTTGTTAAGCAGGGGTATGGAGAGTAGTAAATGAGAGAACACATCTACTTACTGTGAGAACACAATTTATGGTTTACAAATCAAATATAGCAAAAGCCAACTACACAAGGGAAATCAAAATCCAAAGAAGATATGACCAACGCAACCCATTAGTTCAACCACCTTACCGGCCATGACAAATTCAAGTATTCAACATCCTTACCTTATAACTTTGCCAAAGGGGATAAAGAGTAAAACGAAAATAAAAGGAGAATAAATGTTGTTCCAATCATACATATAGTTCATGGGCTCCTAGTTTCACATCTCATAATCTTCACAAAATTCAGAATTGCATTAAATCTTTTGTTCCGTATAATATAATAAAGCAGCTAGAGACTGAAAAATCAAGAGAACCCGAATTCGTAATTCATAAGAAGAATGACTACGCAACCCTACAATAACATGTTAAGGCAAACAAAAAATTAGGATTGCATATTCACCATTTCTTCTTACAGCATTAGCCCAACCAAAACTCCTCGGCAAATGAAGTACGTTTTAGTGTATCCTCAATCTGTTCGAGTCGAGAGAGTCGATTTTTTTTTTCCGAACCACCGCCCAATGGTGCTAATACACTCTCGTCGACCCAATCGAAACTGTAATCCACTCTCGAACGCTATGTTTTGGACTGGAGGAAACATCAAACACTTACTGAAATTTTTCTTCTGTGTAAGTAAATCCATTTTTCTNTTCTTTTTGTTTCGACCCATTATTCTCTGAACAAACTCCTGACCATCGGATTTCCTTTTATTTTATGGGACAGATCGGATTGATTGCAGATCTGCTGTTTTAGGCTCCAACATTTATCTCTACTCTAGCGTGGACTTTACTATACTCTATAGCAATGTTTTAAATACCGTATCAGTGGTCATACCGATCAAGCCACCGATACGCGATATTACCGGTGGTATTACCGGATTAGCAAATATAATGATATATATAAATATACATAAAAATATATAATATCAAATGCAAAAAAAGTAAAAAATAAATGACCATAATCAGTAATTACAACTTCTCAATGAGATAAAAATTAAACATTTTAACTACCAATTTAAATTTATTTTTTTAAATTAAAATTTATATTTTTTTTAATTTTTTTTTATTGGCCGGTATTTTGGACCGGTATTTTACGGTTTTTGCGGTATGATCCCGGTACAAACCGGTATAACCGTAAATCCGATATTTTGAGGGTAATTGTACCGTACCAATAGCCGGTATCCGGTATTACCGGCCGGTACGGTACGGTATTTAAAACATGGCTCTATAGTAGAGTTAAACATTCATCTCCAGCCTTTATCTCTACATTTTACTCTACATTAAATATATTATTTTTTTATTTATTTTTTTTCAAATATATTGGTATATATATATATATATTTATTCTTATATAAATATTTATTACCCTAGTAATAAAAATGTGCTATATTTATTTTTATTTCAAATGAATTGGTATATATATGTGTATTTAATTTTATATAAATTATTTATTACCTCAATAATAAAAATATAATTTTTTTATTTTAAATAAATTGGTATATATATGAATATCTAATAAAATTTACTTATTTGAATGTGTTAAATTTTTATTCATATGGTATTATTTTAATATCAAAAAATTATAAAATAAAATTATAACACACCAATAAATAAAAAGTACAAAATTATTTAGCATAAAAAATATATTACACAAAGCTATTTAGCATAAAAATACATTTATTAATACACATTATACAAAAATTATCATAAATATTACATTAAACTACATGAACATAAGTATATATATATATATATAGGGTCACGCTCCGGTGAGAATGACTCTTAATGCGAGAAATAAGAATACATTATAGTCATTGGATCGCATGATCTAACAGCTTATAGAAAAGCAAAAAATATACATTCATTGAGGACATTACAATAATTTTCAATACTACATTCAAACAAATGGGCCCACTCCACATTAAATAAACCTGCTATCACCCACGCACGCCAACTATTCTCACCCACCAACACACCATCCTATCTCTCTCTCACACACCAACACACACAAAGACATCTCTCTCACACACACCAACACACACCACACACACACACCAACACGCACACACACTTCACGCATATACACATACATAGGCCGCCGCCGCATTCACTCTCGCCGCCGTCGCTCCGCCACCGTAGCCGTCCACTCCCTCTCTCGCCGGCGTCCCCTCCATCGCCGCTCTCACCGCCGGCAGCTTCCCGTTTTCTTCACCTGCTCCTCCGAGCTCCCGCCGGAGTTCTACTGCCGCCACCCCGCCACCGGCATCCACGCCTCTTGCCTCGTTGCTCACAGGCTTCCACCGCCTTCAACGACAGCCTCACACCAGAGCTCTTCTCCACCGCCTTCAACTGACCGCCCCTAGCCGTCTACAGCGCCATGGCCGACGTGATAGCTCTCATCGCGGACACTGCCGACGAGGACATCCTGGCCGACGGCGATTGTGGCACGACCCAGTTATGGAAGGAACCGCCGGGTCTGAACAATACTCCATGGGGGACAATGGTAGAAATTGTAAATTTGAATTGTGGGGTTTCTTTTTGGAAATTTGATAATTTAAAGGGACCTAAATGGAATTTTATATATCTTAATGTATTACAATTTAGAATTGGGATTGTGGGGTTTCTTATTGGAAATTTGATAATTTCAAGATACCCAAATGCAATTTTATATATTTTAATGTATTACAATTTAGTCATATGGTCAAATTTATAATTTGTAAAAACTTTAATGATTGCACCATATTTGAACATAAAATGCACATTGCACATATTATTAAAACAAACAACATTTTATTTAAAAAATATTAGAATAAATATACTTTTGTAGTAATATATTATAAATTATTTTAATTATTTAGATTAATTTGGTGTACAATTTATATTTACTAATTCTAGTTTTCAAAAACACATAAGTTATATTTGATCATATAGAGTAGTGCACTCATATATTATCACGATGCACTTTATAAAACAAAACGTTGCACTTTATAGAACAACATGTTGCACTTTATCACTACACTCCATACTTAACGTTAATAGCTTTCCGCAAAAAATAACACACAACATAAATATAAAAAACGAGTATACATAATACGTTAACATCAACCGCATCAGTTATCCACACGAAACACAAGAATGCTAACGTATCAAAATTCTAGTAGTACACATTATACATCAACATGATGCACTTTATATAACAATACGTTGCACTTTAGAAAACAAAACACTGCACTTTATCAAGACTATCAGATTGCACAATAAAGATTATAGTAGTACACTCTATACATTAACATGTTGCACTTTATAAAACAACGCATTGCACTTTAGACACAACATGTTGCACTTTATCACGACTACCAGATTTCACAATAAACATCGAAACCGGCAGAAATCAAAAATTTTCAACCAAAAATAATATAAAAATAATAAATAACATTATTAAAATAAATACAATTTTAATATAATAAAATAACTCCGTTAACCAAACCAAATAAACTAAATAGTTATGTTCATTTTCAATTTTGTTTTGGGACAAGTCTGCACAATAGAGACCGACATCGTGCACCATAATGATGTACAAATTGCACTTTAATAATTGTAAGATTGCACCGTATATTTTATTTATACATATACAATTTTTTTAATTAAAAAATAATATAAAATGCCAAATAAAATTAATATTAAATAATGATCATGTTTTTATAATAAATAATATAATTTACGTCGGTTATTTCGATTACTTATGTTAATCGAAAATTAAACCGATTACATGTAATCGGAACCAAAATTTCATTTTGAATTTTAAATTTTCGGCTCAATTATCATTTTTTAAATTAAAAAACTCAAATACCCAATTACACATACAATATATCAAACTTAAGAAATTGTAAATAGATCCCTCATATTTCTCTAATTTCCAAAAATAGACCCACAAATTAACACTCAACCTATAAAAACGAATTCATCTCTGTAAACGAATTCATCTCTGCACATCAGAATAGATCTGCCCCCGTCATCAACTCTTCCATCGGCTCTGTGAACGGAGATTCAAATGGTGCGTCGTTGCCACGGATCGACGGTTTCTCCTAGTTGCAGGACGGAGTGGTTGTGGTAGTGGTGGCGGGTTGATTTGGTAAGGTGGTGGCCGTGCTGTTGGGGAATTGGTGGTGGCTATAGCGACGTTCCGGAAGGACCTGATGGCGACGACAACCTACGACTGTGGTGGCGGGGCCGTCGGAAGCAGTGGTGGCGGGTTTGTTGACTGGCGGCCGGCTGGTAGGCGAGGTGCCGGGCTCCGTCGGAAGCAGTGGTGGCGGAGATTGACAGACTGCCGACGGCTGGCTGTGACGGGAGTTTGTCCGGCAACGGTGACTGGATCTATGGTGGCGGCCGGCGTCTGGTGTGCGCGACGGGCTGTGTGCGTGTGTGGAGGAGATCGCTAACAGTGCAGTTGATGAACGGCGGGCTACGGAGGAACGGCGGCGGACGGCTGGCTACGGAGGCGCGGCGGCGGACGGCGGTTCTGTGGTTGCTGCATCTGACCGATTTTTTTTCCCGTCTGTGTGTTTGTCTGCATTTTGAATGCGTGTGTGAGAGAGAGTCACGGTGTGGGTGGGAGAGAGGTTACGTGGTGAGTGATTTGGGTGGGTCCCACTTGTAAGTTTAATTGTAAAATGACCTACTTATCCTTAATTAGTGGTTAAATACAAATATTTGACCATATTATGTCCACTTATTTACCATAATGCCATAGCATGTTTGACTGCATTATTAATATTTGACTTCATCATGCCCATTGAATTGATTGATCTGATGGTATACAGTCATTCTTATTTCTCGCATTAAGAGTCATTCTCATATGATCCTTTCTCTCTCTCTCTCTCTCTCTCTATATATATATATATATCTGGCACAAAAACAGTGCTGCGCCAGTTCTGGCGTAAAACTGTTCATTTATTCATTCTAGCGCATAAATTGGGCGAAGCGTTGGAAGGATTTCTCCATGCTAATCTGGCGATTTTCTCTAATCTGAAGCAGCGTTGGAGACACTCTTACAATCACAGCACTACATTTGTCATGTTATAAAAATTGACTTTTATTTATTTATTTTTAATTAGTAAATTAAATTTTATAAATCAAAACTATCGTTGGGCGGCAATATAAAAGCGAAACAGGTAGCTACAAGCACCGCTCCTCGCTTGTGGATCATATAAATAAGAGGGGCAGCCACTTAGTTGCCTTCTCACTCGAATCCTGAAGATAATAAAGAAAGCGTAGCGAGTACCAAAGACTTTCCTCTCGAGGTCGACTAGAACACTCGAATAAGAAGCAAAGATTGTTCGGTAATAGGTCAAAATATATTGAATGACAAGGCTCAGGGACTGAGATTCATTTTCAAAGATCATCTTATTTCGGGAATTCCAACTGAAGTACACAATTGACATGAGTGTTGCTTCATCTTGCTTTGTCACCTTGACCTATTGTGCCTCCTTCTTCATCCATTTTAGTCCCGCCCCATTCGCTAACCACAGTCCAAATTTTGAGAGTAAAAGATATCCGACGAAGGGGTGATTCACTAATTCTACTGCCACGCTGCATAAGGTGCATGTTGGATCCTCTTCTAGAAACTTCAGTAGGTCTTTGGTGCGGTGACGGCTGAGCACCCCAAGCCATAAAATGAATGAGTGCTTAGGGGTTTTGCAAGTCCCCCATACCACACCCGTCAACGACAACATAGTGCCGCAAAGGTCTTTAAAACAATTCATTTGGTTGGACAATGGGTCACCTCGTGATAGTAACATGCGTTCTTCAGTGAGGGCTAGATGGGTAACTCTAAACTAGTCGCACTTTGGGAGGAAATTAAAATCTGAGCCATCAGTCATGCTTCACTTGATAATTCTAGAAAGATATTCAATGTAAATGAAAAAATGCAAGGTAAAAGGGAACCACTTTGCCTAACTCCTCTCGCGCCTTTGAAATGCCATGCCCATTTAGGCCCCCCGGTGATCGAGATTGAGTAGGATGAGTTATGACACTTTGGGGACTACTGACAAAGCATGACCCGCTGTGGGTGCAGGTACTCCGGGCTAAATATAATGTCTCTTCGTCGGCTGACGTGCTTTCTCTCTCCCGTCTGAATTGCTCGGCGTTGATGCGGGCGATTGTCCAAAAGTGGCCTAATATGGTGAAGGGTGTGCGTTGGGTCATAGGAGATGGCAAAACCGTACGGTTTTGGCTGGACCTATGGCTGGGCTCAATGGGCCCTTTGAGCTCGATTGCTGCTAGCGTACCTCCCGCGTCATGTCAGATTGCGACGGTGGCGGAGCTGGTTAGCGACTCTGGGGAATGGCGGTGGGATTGTCTTCAAAACCTACTTCTGGCATCCATACTGATGAGCCTCGCAGCGACCCTACCCCCACGAGAGACGGCGGACTGCGACCGGCTTGTATGGTGTTACTCCACCGATGGCTGGTTCACCACGAAATCGGCCTATGACTCACTTCTCCATATAGTGATCGAGCCCCCCTCGCCCCTGCGGAAGATCATTTGGTGAGTCGCGGCCTCACAACGGGTTCGAAATTTTTTATGGTTAGCAAGCAATGCTCGACTGCTTACCAATGTTGAGAGAGTTCGGCGGCACCTCTCCCACTCGGAGGACTGTGATTTTTGTGGTGATAGCAAGATGATTCTCCACGTGCTGCGAGACTGCCTTTTTGTGAAAACCTTGTGGCGACGGCTGCTTCCGACGGGCTTGACGGACGACTTCTTTGCACTACCCGTACGAAGGTGGCTCACACGTAACCTCACAAAGCCTCGGCAGGGCCCTTTTGCGAACTAGGCCGACCTTTTCTCGGTTGTGGTCTGGAGAGCGTGGGCCTGGAGGAATGACCGCATCTTTAATGGTCGATCCCTGGGCTGCGAGGAACGGAGAGTTGAGGTGAACCGGATAGAGAGCTACCGCCGCTCGGAAGAGGCCCTGGCTACTGCAGGTGCAGGCATCAACCGGTATGATACACGTTTGATTTATTGGTCACCTCCAGAGCTAGGATGGATCAAATTGAATATAGGTGGTGCTTTTGACGTGTCCTCGGGCCTAAGTTGTGCTGGTGGTCTCCTTCGAAACGAGTGGGGTGGTTGGAATGCGGGTTTCCTTATGAATATCGGCTACTGCACCATAACTGGGGCCGAACTGTGGGGTCTTCTTCAGGGGCTTCAGCTTGCATGGGATCAGGGCTTTCGCCATGTTAAGGCGAAAGTAGATAGCCAGTGTATATTGCAGATGATTAATGGCACCGGTCCCATTTTTGGGGCGCATGAAGCTTTGGTCAAGGCCATTAAAGATTTGCTCCAAAGGGAGTGGACCATTCACATCCATCACGTGCATAGAGAGGCAAACTTTGCTGTTGATCACCTGGCGAGCTTAGCGTCTGCTGTTCCGATTGGTCTCGATGTGTTGGCCACCCATCCCCCGACATTGGGTGATTGGCTTAAACATGATGTGATCGGGGTTTCTTATCCCCCGACAAGTTTTAGTCTAGTATTGGGCCTACGGCCTCCTTTCTTGTACAAATTGTGTGCATGCCACATAAGCGGCGGGCATATTAACATGTGCCCACCGTGGGCATGTGAGCATTTCCCACATGGATTAATAGCAACTCAAATGTCCATTAGTTTTATTCTCATGACAATAACAAACAACTAATTAGTTAAATAAGATTCATCTCCATGAATTTGGTTTGCAAAATTACATAGGATAAGCCGGTAGCTAGGCAGGTGATGGTGTTTTTGAACCTGTGTGTGATTTTTTATTACATATCTTATAACAAATACATTTGAAAAATTTACATTTCCCATCTTGAAAGCCTTCGTGCTCACATGTGGTGATGCAGTTGTTTTGGATAATGCAAGGCCCATCGAATAGCTTGCTAGCCCTTCCACACAACTGCCCTTCACTCTTCCTAATGCCATACACTGCCATATAACCATACAATACAAATATATATTATTTATAATGCATGCCAGTCATTTGAAACGAGGTACATTGTTTTTTTCTCTTCTTTTTAATTCTAATTAAATGAAGGAGTTTTATCAATTTCGTCCCGAACACATGAGTCAACGATTAATTTGAGACTTAAAAGATAAATTATATCAATTTAAAACTTGAAATATCCAGAACAATCAATTTAAAATTTTAGTTCTTGGTCTAGGGCTCTTTGATGGGTCAGCTTGGTCCCGAAATAGCCAATATTTCACATTTGCAAAAAATACTAAAATGTAATGTTTCTAGCTAAAAGTATAGATATTTATTTTTCTTTGGTGTTTGTACATAAGTAACAACTAGTGTGTAGCCCGTGCTATGCACGGGTAAATAATACTAATAATCTCAACCTTCAGCAAGTAGGTTCCCTGCCTTCGGTTCTGGGAGTTTGGTTAGAGCATGATATTATTGGAGTGTCGTATCCCCGTCGAGTCCTAATATAGGTTTATGGCCTCTTTCATTGTACAAAAAATAATAATAATAATACTAATAATAATTATAAACTAAATATTAGGATAAACAATACTAACTATAATTATAAATTAAAGATGTGGGGTTACATGTGATAAAATTTACTTTATATAGTCTATTGTAACAAAATAAAATTATCTTATATAATGAACATAAAAAAATTATGTCTAAAATATTAAAATTGAGAGAAGATTTACATATTATATATAAAATAAATATTGAGATGATACCGAAAATTATTTCGTCATCAATTTGAGTATAAAATAAACGGAGGCTTAATAACTCCATGCTTTATGCATATGCTTCATTTATTAATTTTATATAATAATTTTAAAATCTCATTATCAAAATTTGTATTTAAATATATAAAATAAACGGAGACTTAACAATTTTACGCTGCATATACTTTATTTATCAATTTTATGTAATGATTTTAAAATCTCGTTGTTATGAAGATTTTTATTCAAACACGTATCAACAAAGTACACATCTTTGAGATTTATGATGAAATACGAATACATGATTTCTTTATAAAAGAAATCCGTATTTATTTGTTTTTGAAAATTGATGCAAACTCACAGAGAATTTTTGTTCCTAACAAACTCCTACAATTCTAATTAAATCATATTATTCCACTTTGAATTTCATGATGGTTTTAAAATCTGTACACGTGGTCATAATCTATGTCAAATAAACAATCTCCATAATTTTAGAAATCAGTATTTATCTGTTTTTGAAAATCAATGCAAATTGCTTGATAGTTTTTTTTTCTAAGAAACTCCTACAGTTCTAATTAAATTATATTATTCAATTCAATTTGAGTACGAATTTAAAGTTTCAATTTGAAAATGAATTTAAAAATCTTTACACTTGTTGATAGTCTTTCAAGTAAACATAGTCCCAATTTTATTTTTTCCGTTATTAAGTTTTTTATTCCAACAAATGATGTGGTGAAGATTTATTAAGTGAGTACCTATGATGTATGGATTAATATCCAATGTTGTAGCATACACTTTTTTTAATTGCATAAATATAATTGTGTTTTTTTTCTTTGCATGGACGGTATAATTAGTGCAAGTTAATTAAATGAAGTTAATTTTTTAATATAATTTTTTTTTTTTTACTAAAATGAATGATGCAAACTCGTACCATTTTAAATTCTCCACAATTTGAATTAACTTTTGAATACTGCTAAATTTCATATCTCTCATTATTTATGCGGGCAATTTTGGAGGAAAGTTATTAGGAAATTGTTAACATTTGAATTTGAATTAAAGATTTGCATGAAAATTATTAGGAAATTGTTAACAATTGAATTTGAATTAAAGATTTTTTTTTTTTTTTTTTCTGTTTTCCCTATAAGTTCGTTAAAGCAACCATATTTTATTTAAACTTCTATCCCTTCCTTATTTAGAAATTTTGAAATTTGTTTAGCTTGCTATATTTAGTAAATAGTAATTCTTTTTATATAAGTATAGATTTCTTAGCTAGGTTGATTAAATAAATGAAGAAATGAAATGTACTTCCACCCCAACATTCATGGACATATACAAGAAGGCAACTTACATGAAATGACGAGGAGAATTAACAAACTCATAGTGCCAAAGAATTTCCTCTCCATTTTAATTCTAATATGTATATTCTTACGATTTTAATGTTATAATATTGGTTTTAATTGCAAACTCAATTTATAGGCCTCTCTATAGAAAACAATCTCATCCACTATTTATGTCCATTTTCCATTAAATTCCCTCTCATAAGATATTCAACAGAGATAATTATGAGTGTTTCTCATATTAATGAATCTCGACGCCACAATGCTGGCTTATGGGTAGAGATGTCCAGAAAGTTGCAATGCCCATATCTTTTGGTTGTGTACTGACTTTTGTTTTTGATTGTCAATAGTTAGCTGTATTAACCATATAACTACTAATGTTAATAAAAAATTAATTGTGCAACAAAAATTGAAAAAGAAATAAAATTTGAGTAAAAGGATTTGTATTATCATTTGGAATTCTAGAAAACATTTTGTTATATATACTCCATATGGAATGGATCAAGCCTCTTCATCTTGTATATCACAGCATGCCTATCTGCCAGTGCTTTTCGTGTTGGTCCTAATTCTGCTAAAGCCTTGTGTTCGTTTCAGTGACTTGGAGTCTTCGTTTGATCAACCAATCAGGTAAGAAAATAGAAATGGAGTAGCCTGAGGTCAACTCTCATCTTGTAGGGCTACAATTTGTATTCGACCAAGGATTGTCAACCTAATATCTACGGTCTACCTACATCACCATAAACTCGAGAATAGTTGGCTGAGCTGTGAGGGGCAAAGATGGCTCGCTATTCGTTTCATTTAAGATATATTCATTTTTGTCAAAATTAAATAGAATAATGAATTTATTCGACAGTAAATATACGACTGCCAACAACACGCATACATGAAAAAAAAATATTTATATAAAAAAAAAAAAGTAAATAAATGGGAGAATGGCAAATTGCTCAAGTGGGGATTTATATTCTTATAATAGAATAACACAAAATTAAATATACAAATAATAATAAAGAAATTAAAAGTTTCTTCTTTAAAATGATACGCGTGTTTTTATACTTGATTTGTTCAAATGATAATTTTTTAATCTCACTCACTCACACACACATACATAGACACACACGCGTATTTTATACTTGATTAATAGTTTACTAGTACAATACCCGTGTATTACACGGGTGTTGAAATTAGAAAGATTTTGTAAAAAATATTAAATTTTTTTATTTTTTTAAAAACTAAAATAATTTAACTTTATATAAAACATTACTTTTGGTTTTAATTAAATTGTCAAATTATAATAAATTTTCTACCTTATAACATATAACTACATTAAACATAAATATATTAATTGTTTATTTGCTAATTAATTTTAATAAATAATCTTATTATTATTATAAAGATAAATATAATTTATTTATTTTATATATACAATATGGATGTCGAATCGAAACTCATCAAAAGATGATTAATTTGATATATTATATATGTAAAACCGATAAGAAATACAAAAGTTATCAACTTTTAAAATATATTTACAATTTAATGGTTATATTAAAATACAATTAATATAAATATTAGTTTATATTTAAGCCTAACTCCAAAGCATGATTTTTTGCCAAGTAGGATTCCGAAGCATGAGAGTTTGCCAGGATCAGCACATTCTGAAATTATATATAGAGGGGATCGTTCATTTTTACTAATGATAAAATTTATAAAATGTAATATGCTATTATTTAACTTAATATTACATACACATACATATAACATATAAAATTTTATTTGCAATCTGTGCATGTACACAGGATTTATTATATTATTCAACAGTGCTATACTACTTATTTTATAATAAATAATCGAATCTTCATTCTTAAGTCCACGCTGTTAGAGAAAATGAACAATTCGAGAAAAGAAAAACGCGTTTTAAGTTTTAACAGAACACTTCTTAAGAATCTATATATATTGAAAAAGAGAGTTTAATAAATCATTTATGGAAACTTTAAAAAAAAATAATGAGTCAACCATTTGACTTAATATTATAAGTAATATTCTAAAACATGTGATAATGATTTTCAAAAATTTTGGTAATTTGTTAGGATATGATAGTGATAATGTTTTATCCCTATTTTTTTGGAAATATCTTTGATAATCTGTTCAAATTTTTTTGCCTTTTTTTTAACAACTTTAGCAACCTACACAGATTTTTTTTAACAACTTTAACGATTATTATGCTAATTAACCAAATCTAATTTTTTATTATCATAAAGGAATCTAACCCGTCGTTGACTAGCTCTGTGGCGTAACTAATTAGTGTTGTTTTCAGATCCTTCATTAGCGATTCCTTTGAGCACACATCATCATTCTCTTTCTCCTCAGAGTTGAGCCCTCTAATTTCCGATTGCGCGTCTTTCGGGACAACAGTTTCCACTTCTACCCTCTTCTCCATAACAGAGAACTCGCTAATTCCACCCTCGCTTTCACAAACCTTCTCACCTGCAGCATCTAAACAAAAATTATCCGACTCCAAATTATTCTTCGCCAACTTACCATAATCCTTTTTCAGCTCGGAGCCCAACAAAGGCAAGACCTCGTGAAGGTCCTTCACATCCTCAGACGGCTGGTCAAACGTCGACAGCCTGGCAGGGAGAGTCTCCACCCGGCTAATCACACTCATCTCACCTGTGATAGAGTGGTGCTGGAACACGCGTGGCCGGATTCGTGACCCACTGCGACAGGAGCTCCATCCTGGAGGTTGTTATGTGCGGGATGTCGATGATCGGGTGGCCTACCTACGCGGAGTAGAGAATGAACAGGGTGTTCATGGTAGATAAGATGGGGGTAGCGCTACCGCTGGATGACGGGGATGACGAGTTTCATGGTGGTGGCGGAGCAGAAGAAGTAGGTAAAAATTGGTTCTTTTTCTTCATATGCACTAATTTTTATGCACTTTAATTGTGCTTTGTGCGTGTTTATGTGGTTCTTGTGGATATGATGAAAAAATAAAATCGATATTGTTCACGCAGGATGTAAATAATGACGGGTTTAAGCATAAACTGGCTGAAGAGTTTGGATGATAATAATAGTCAATAACAGTTAAGATGTTTTTAGGGAGGTTGGAATCAAGAGAGACATTGTAACATGTAATAGCTATCATACACTTGTATGTGAATCTGTATACTTGTGATAATATCCAGAAATATTTCCTCATGGTAGGATTTAGGAGGGATAATAAGTCTTGACAGTGAGAATTAGGATTTTGATTTAATTCCTAATTCATTCTTGATTAGTGGAATGTTAAGACTTAAACCAGTGTTTAAGAAATTAATCGCTTGTGGTTTTAAGAAATATAAACAAACGAATAAAGTGTGATATATATCTAAGAACTAAGAAGCTAGCATGAGTTCCAAATTTTAAAGCCTGTGGCTGTCATTGTTATCTGTTCAGATCACTAAACTTTTTTTGCAGGACTTCACATTTGTTTCCCCTGTGCTCTCCTTTTAACGGTACGGTAAAAAACAAAAATTGAAATGTTTGTTTATCATTGTAAACATTCTCTAAGATGCTCTTATATGGCTGCTGTTTATGAACCTATAAGGGTAGTCAACATGTTTGGTCCACAAATGTTGAAGCTTTGGAAAATGCAATATCGAGCCAAGGCTTTGCTCGGCCATTGAAATGGATAACACGTACATGAACATGGAAAGCTAGAAGCTCAGGAGGTATGGTTTTCTAGCTGCCATAAGCTCAATTCTGACTTCATTCTGCATTTTGAAAGCATCATAAGAGAATCAATAGAGCTTTGATTTCATTGTCTGGCAAGTAATATTTCCTGAATATTCTTACAAATCTGAAAGTTGTAACATCTCCGAATTCTATTTTAGTAATTGGAGCAGCTATGCCATTCTAATGTAGTGTTGAATTACAAGAACTATTAAGTTTAGCCTTCTTACATAAATTTAGTTATCTTTTTAGATGTATACAATTATGATATACAAACTTCATCTATAAATCTTGAAAGTTGTAAAGTATAAACATATATTAGAAATGCATTTGTAATATTTAAAGATGGCTGCTTCTTTCTTCTTCTTCTTCTTCTTCTTCTTCTTCTTCTTCTTCTTCTTCTTCTTCTTCTTCTTCTTCTTTTTTTTGCCATTATTAGCATGTTGGAATGAAACGTGTTGAGAAAAATTTGTTCAGGGGCAAATTTTTTCTTTAATTTAGATTCAATTCGAAGAACACGAAAATTAAAATGAAAATTGGAGGGCAAATGCATGCGGATGTGGTTCATGAGTGCGCTGTACTTGGGGCTCAAAGCCTGCAACTTAGCAGCAATAACATGTGGTTTTTCTGTATTCCTGAAGCTTGGCTGTTCTCATCATTTTTCGATCAAGATTTAGTTTCATTTGCCAGTAAAATCTTTTTGCACGTATATTATAAGAACATAATTTATTGTGTAGTTGCATTAACAAGACTACTTCGCACCTCTTGGGAATGTGTAAGGTGTGTGCATTATTATTAGCATGCATACAAAATAAAGATTTTAGTTGTAAAATTGGGAAAAATATCAAGTAATTGTCTTTGGTTTCTTTGTGAAACAAATTTTGCTTTGTACTGTGAGAATTGAATAAAATCAAGGGAGTATATTATGTGTGGGTGCAGAGTTATGAATATTTTGATATGAATGTGTTGATACCAAATTTTGGCCTAGTCTATTATAATATTACACGTGAATATGTATTATATCAATTATTTTATTTTTGGGCCTTAAATAATACCGCTTGTGATAATATCGGGCCCATTAAATAGATATATATATATCCCCGATGATGGACACAGACAGATAAGTTTGAGGGGGCTATCATTATTTTCTCCTATTATGACTTTTCTCTCTCTAATCCTGACAGAAGAAAGCGGTGCCTGCTTCTTCATCTTCTTCAGGAACTCTATTTTCATGATAATTACAGGAAAATTCAACAGAAAAATCACCGAAAAATATACATAAAAAAATACACAATAAATTCCTCTGAACCCCCATGTTGATCAAATTTCGAGCATCAACAGAATGTTTCGCCCTTCATTTCTGCAATAAATTATATTTGACTACACATGTTAGAAAAAAATTTATGCTAAAATATATAAAATTTAAGTAAATATTTATTTCAAGCATAATGAACATATATTACTATAAATTGGAAAAATTTAACTAATTAATAATTTATCAAGTGTCTTAAATTGAAAATCATTAAGTTTTATACCTTTGAAATACATAATATTACACCCGCTTTATATTAAATTATTTTAGAGACTTAATTTATTTACAAAATAAATATTATTTAACCACAATTTTCTAACTTTAAGTCTACTTATCTAATGCTAATATGGTATTAGTATGAACAACGAGATTTAATAGGAATTTTATGCATTTATTAGATGTGAAAATGTTAAAATTTTTATATTTATGTGCATATAAACTTTGAACAATACTTATATGGACTTTTTAAATTTTCAATTATTACATATCATTAAAAATAAAGAAAATTATTATTAAATTATTTCTATGTTAATAAATATTCTTCTATAATTTTTATGATGGATCATTATCGTCCCGTGCATTGCACGGGTTCTGTTTAGTAATAAACTAAAAACAGTGCTCAAATTACATACACATACATATAACATATAAAATTTTATTTGCAATCTATGTATGTACACAGAATTTATTATATTATTCAACAGTGCTATACCACTTATTTTATACTAATAAATAATCGAATCTTCATTCTCAAGTCCACGATGAACAATTCGAGAAAAGAAAAACGCGTTTTAAGTTTTAACAGAATACTTCTTAAGAATAATAAAATAAAAACAGTGCTCAAATTACTGAATTAGTGTGAGGCCACCAACCACAGCCCATCGAGTCCGCCGTGCTCCACTCCCACTCCGCCGCCGCATCATCAGCTCCTCCTCCCTACTCCGCTGCTCTCAATTTTCTCCTGATTCAACACCAATTTCTCCTTTTCAATGGGGAAAGGAGGGGGCTGTGTCCCTAGCAAGAAAAAGCTCCCCATAGCCACCACCACCACCGATGACGGCGACGACATCCTCCCCGAATCCACTCCGGCAGCCACCGATAAACCCACCTCCGAAGACGCCGCCGCCTCAAAGGTTCTTCCGGAACCAACGAATCGGAAGCTCAAGCTCTGGATAGTGTTCTACTCGATGTACGGCCACGTGGAGGGCCTGGCCCGCCGGATGAAGGTGGGAGCCGACAGCGTGGACGGTGTCGAGGCCGTACTGTACCGGGTGCCGGAGACGCTTCCGGACGATGTCCTCGACAAGATGCGGGCGCCGCCCAAGGACGATTCGATCCCCATGATCGGGTCGGCCGGGGACCTGGCTGGTGCGGATGGGTTCCTGTTCGGGTTCCCGACGAGGTACGGATGTATGGCTGCGCAGATGAAGGCCTTCTTTGATTCCACAGGGCAGCTGTGGAAGGAGCAGAAGCTCGCGGGCAAGCCGGCGGGGTTCTTTGTCAGCACGGGGACTCAAGGCGGCGGCCAAGAGACCACAGCGTAAGCATATATATATATATATATATATATATATATATATCAGGCATTGGAATATATTTGATCTTTATATTTTATTTTGTGTGATTGTGTGCGTGATTTGATTCTTTTCACTTTGTTTTGATTAATGGAATCGGAATATGCTTTATTGTGCTGTCACCATTAACCTTTGGTAGACCATTTGAATTCCTGATGCGTATGCTAAAAGTATTGCAAGGCAGTATGATTAGAGACAATTATTAGTATGTTCTGATTCAGTTTGATGTTTTGTTTGCTAAAGATTTGATATTGAATAACGTGATTTAGATTAGATACAGATTGTGTTATTGTTTCAGACAGTTAAGTCTTGTTATGCCGTTCCAAAGTTGAAATAATGAACTTTCTATATGATAAAATGAAATGTTGATGGATATGATTGCTTTCTGGTGATTTACTTGCAAGTCTGACTGAACTTTACTGATTGTTGAATTTAAGAAAAACTACATGATTCTTCTTTCCTAACCATTCCTATCTTTTCACCAAGTTCTATTGGATATCAAGCATTCTATGATGGGGTGGGGGTGGGGAATGACATTCATCAATTAAAATATGCACCTTATATTGGCCCCATTTCTGAGTACTTGTTAACAGTTTGGTTTTTAACTTACCAAAAGAGTGACATGTAGGATGGCTAGGGAAGATATTGGAAACTGACCATAAGCTGAATAGTGAACATTGTACACGTTATATTTCGAAAGCGAAGAATTATAACTGCAGTCATAACTTAGTTTTTACTCAGTGCATGAAAAGCTGATACGTTAGTAACCCAAGTATCACAGCTTTGCACGATGTTGCCATATCGGCTATGCACATTCTGGAATAGTATATAGTACTTGATCAGTTGATGTGTGAATTTTAGGATTATATTCTACAAAAGATTGCATAATCTTGTAATCTTTTATTTTGGAATTTTCGTGTATTAATTAAAAAAAAAAAAAATTCTATAAACATTTTTCCATTCTTTTCACCAAAGAATGGGGTCACATTCTCTATAAATTCCCCAAGCACAACCAAAATCCAGAAATAAAACAGAATATCAGGCTAAATTAGAGTAGTTAGTTCCAAATCCAACAGTACTTAGTGTTGTCTTAAAAGGTGATTCTATTGAACACCTTTTT